GTCACTGACAAAGGATGGAATAGATCGACGGAACAAATGAGACTTTACATCAATTGCTGTATGTATGTACACGTGCCTCGTCTATATCGTTGATTCTAGTTTATCTCTTTGCGTTTGCACAGCGAAATTCTTTACTTTGATGCTCGAAACAAATAAATCAGTTGTTTGTATTCGTGAAACATTTATTTCCACACTGTAATCGCAATATATTTAATATACGACTAATAATCTTATAATAATTGTATCTCAACAAAATAAAAAGAAATATTACTTTATATTGATTGTAAAAATATATTTACTATTATATATAAAATTATTTGTATATATTTGAAAATAGAATGAAAATGATTACTAATAGAAAAAATATATGTCAAAGCAAAACTTATTCACGTGATTTCAACAATCTTCATATCAATTGTTTTAGCGATTGATTTCGCTGGTTTCTGAAGAAATAATAACGCATAATTAATGAATTTGCAATTATCAGAACTATAATGAGGGACTCAATGTTAACGCATTAAACATGTTCGCGGTGCATCGAGCCGCGATTGAGCCGTGCATAGAGGCCGACCAAGATAATCCATTTCCACTTTATTCAGCATCATCCGCTTGGTTGCTCCGAGCAGGCCGAGTCAAAGTCGTTCGATCAAATCGATCCGCGCTTCGGCTGTGCGCTTCGTTTCTAGTTGTCGGATCTGTTGCTTTGAGTACATTTGCGCTTACAGTTGCATCGATCGCAACGAACGTCAAGATCGAATTGCCGCGGCCGTTTGTGTTTCCATCGGGAATTGTACGTGGTCGAAGAAAAGGGAGTTGCCCGACTGCTCGCGAGATAATTTGGTTAATAACAAAAAAAGATATAGATATACGTTCAAATATTAGAAAAAAAATTATGAGCCCTACAATCAAATTATATATCATGCAATTTATAATTTTCTATAATATATTATTGCGTAAATTTTTTTCTATTTTTTTATCGTTTATTATATTTTTGAAGTGTATGCTTAGACAAAAGAGCCTCGTCGTCACTCATAAAATGGAGAATTTGCACCGACAAACTATATATAATTATAAATAATCTGCTTACAGGACCATACCTTCAATACATTCATGCGCATGCATTTTTCTCTCTTTCACATGTGAATTATACCGAGCGCATATCGCGACATCATGCAACACGCTTATTTTGGAGTGATATTACGCTTTCGGAAAGTATAGTTCCTAACAATCGATAGGTGTCTATTCATCCACGTGCAATCAGCCGTAATTACTCAACCGCAGACATGCGCGTACTTTTTGCACAATCAGCGGTAAAAATTTGCGTTCGTCGTAATGTACTGAATGACTATGCATCGCTTTTTGCAGTGTTTTTCCCATTTCGATAATGACTACTTTACCATCACCATCGGCTTTTCGCGTTTACCTTTTTTTAGAAACAATTTTCCTAATGTGCGGTGCGAAAGGATAGGATTTCTTTTCGTCAAATATCGAGATATTACAAGAATGCAAGAGCATTCAATGTGCATAGAGATATCCTCGAGAGCACATATAATGCGCTTTGTTTTCAGTGATATTATATTTACATATATAATTTTTCTTCCTCTTCTCGCGTAAAAATAATTGCAATAGAAAAGCGCATAACGCTGCATATCATAGCATAATGTAATGAATGAGAGAGCAAAAAAAGAACGGAGAATTAAAGCATTCTGTTATGCTAATAAACTGAAAAACATTACTGCACTGTCCGTTAAATTAAGAAAATTAGCCACTCGTGTATTGACAAGTACTCTTATGCCAACCACTTCAAACATCTTATCCTCCCAAAAATCGATCGGTCGCGCGCGCACCCGATGGTGATTCCCCCTCGATCGATCGCGTGTCATAATCCCCTTGTTGCAAAAGCGATCTTTGATTAAAAACGGCGTTGAATTGATCACGCGTAACGACGACGCGTCGTGACTGACTTTGATGAGACAATTTGAATAATATTGACGACTCTTGACTTTGAAAAAAGTGTCAACCTCCAATCGCGTTGCATCGAGAATCATCTCAACTTCTCAAGATTGAACGGTTGTCGGGAAACGAGGGGTTTACCCCCACTTATATTCACTTGTTCCGATGAATTGTCGCCGCGAGAACAAGAATGAGAAGTAGTCGTCGTCAACCGCACAATTAGCGTTAATCCTCGTTAATCCGTCTCTTCAATCTGCATTTCTTTGTTCGTCATCCCTTCATCTCGATTATGCGAGTATCACCGGATAAAGATCACACGGTATATGTACGTGGGAGGGAGAATCAATGCGCTGCGGCGAGGCGACGATAAAGACGTTCGGGAATGGAAGGTCGAAGGTAAACGAGGTAAGATACAGTTTATCCCACGAGTCTTGGTCGTTAATACTTTAGTTTCCTATATTTATGACACCGATCAATATCCTATTCCTATCCCGCTCTGTGCCGGAAGCGACCCAGATCCGCGCAAACTAGACAACAGTTTAAGGTCTCGTGTGAGTTGCAAGGAGAATATGTGACAAGTCCTGCCGCTTGGGTCATAATAAACACACGATCTAACGAAATAGAGGCTTTAACGCAACAGCGTCTATTGTTAATACTGTTCCCAAACTTGTTTCCGTCAATTGTACTTTGGAAATATTTCATGTATTCGCGGTTACAATATTCTAATAAATAATAAATATATAAAGGCGCTCTTGTCATTGAATCTCGATTGAATCCCTTCATTTCGGGCTGTTTGAAAAATCACGAAATTGCGTTCACTAGATCGAATGTCGTCAATGTGGCTTATCGAATCGTCGGAACGAAAAAATACACATAGAATACTATGTTATATCACCTAAAAAGACGGGTTTTGTCCAATCAAATGGTTCTATTGGCACATGTCTCGTTGGCTCGTAACCAGAGCCATGATCGATCTCTATTTGTATCGGCTGGCAATCGGATATTGGCCGATGAACGTACGAAAAAGAGGAAGGCGTCGACCAAGGCAGCAAATAGATGTAAGCAAAAGATATCGTGGCTGTGTAGTGGCAGGTGCAGTAATGCTTCATCAAGTCGGTAAATAATATTTGAAATCGATTATCTGTGGCTTTACGAATTCGATATAGTTTTAATTACGGCGCCCTATTGTCCATGTGGACCAATGTATCGACGATGGATGTCTAAAATCGAGAAATGACAAACCGCCAAAGTATACATGAAAATGCGGAGGAGTACATACGACATGTGAAAGGCGAAATAGAAGCGCAAACTGCAACACAGACAATCGTCCGTCGCTGCATCGCTCGCCGCGCTCACATTGTTGTCATAATCTGGCCAGACTAGGTCCATTGTTTGTCATTCAATTTTTCCGCTGAATTTCCATCACGGACAATGGCAGCGGCGCTTCATAAGTCGCGTGAATTACATGGGCGAATGTAGCTCGTAAATATAGCCCGTAAATATATCGTGCAAAAGCACCGTCGCGTTCGCTCCCTTCCATATCGCGGAGAACGATGCTTCAAACTCTCTCGATTCTATTTTATTCCTCAATGAGATTCGACGATGATACATTCGCATTTTACTCGTTTTCCTTAATTCAAGCAAAACTCATATTTATCGAATATTATTTACACGCAGAAAAAAATTACTAATTTAAACACAACTTTCGATAAAAATCAAATAACGCAACTGCCACGCGAAATATACAATTTTTTATTATTATATTCTATCATTGCATTCGCACATATATATAGCGACTATTAAATATTGATTTCGTTTTATTCCCCCTAATATTACGACACACACACAAACGTACATCACGTTTCTTCTCGATGACGAGTGTTTTTTTCCGTTTAATCGCCTTTATCGAGACCGTCGATGAAAAGCAAATAGTTCATCTTGCGAGAGAGAGCCGAACCGAAGGGAAGTAACCAGCGATCGCCAACGAATAGATGGATAACGCCTAGGAATACCACCTGCGCGAGAGAGGAGAGTAATACGAGTCGCGATACCGCTCGTAAATCAGCGCAATTTCGCAAACGTTCCGGGACAATTTTATGATTTAATCCAGTGGATGCGTGAAGGCTGCGGTCGCGAACGGGGACAGCGATGGAAACGCGAGACACGTCGCTTGCACGGTGCACCGGGTTGCACTCTTCGAGATGAATTTCCCCGCGTATCGCCGACACAGTAACCGCGAGAGTGAAAAATCTCTGCGGCCAACTACAAATTCGCAGTGTAACGGGAAACGCACTTGCCAGTTCGAATTTTCGCGTCAATTCTGTCGCGTTGCGTTTTACGAGTTACGCAGTTATCGGTGACGGATGTATCGCAATAAGGCGAAATAAAATGCCGATTAGGATCTACATCGGAAATTTAATTAACTCGGGACGGTCGTGCTCCTGTAAATTGCATTTTATTATATCGGAAATCGATTTTTTTCAACTCGGCTTGAGGCGTTGGTCGCTGGTCCCTGGTCCCTCCCTCTCTCTCTCTCTCTTTTTTGTCGCAACAACCTGCGTTCGCCACTTAACACGTTCTATTCTGTCGGAAATGGATATTTGCAGCCAACGTTATATTGCCTAGTCAGAGGATAAATACGCAATGAACGTACTTAGCTTCGCGGGAGGTCTCTCCGGTACGGAAATTAATTTACCTCGCGTCTCTTAACTGCAGCAGGGATCGCAATCATGTATAAAGCGTTACCCAGCTGCTTTTTGCCGATGAGTTTATTAACTTAGACTTTTCGCGAGCGTATCTCAACGCTGACGTCGCACAAAACGACGAATCTAATAACGCGATTACCTTGAACAGAGATTATGATACATCGCGGAAAGAAATCGCGCAATCGCGAGGATCGGTCGCTTGCGTGTCGGACGAGCTTCGCAAGTCCTAGCAAAAGGTTTCTCGCATTCGGTAAATCGCAAATCGAATTAAGCTCTCAACCGGCACGCCATCCTCGATCCGAAATGTCGTGGATGTATAAAAGGGAGCGATAACGACGCGACCGGACACAAGTGAGCTGCGGAACGTGCATCCGACTCCATCGCGCCGCGTCTCGCTTCAACCTAGAAACGGCTCTCGCGGCTATTACGGTTTTAAAGTGTCCAGGAACTCGTCGTCCGTGTCCAGCATCGATAGTCTATCAGGCGGAAAGAGAAAAGAGAGAAATCGACCAACGCACCCGCTGTATTTGTCTGCTCGAGTTCGCGAGCTAACTACTTGGACAACTAGTCGAGCTTTACCTAGGGTGCGTCAAACGGTACATTGATTGTGTGTACTTGGCAGTTCACGACTCGACTCGCATCGAAGGATGTTGATGCACAACGATAGTGGTTTCGTAGCCGAGCCATTGGCTTTCGCTAGCAGAGTCGGGTAGGTGTAAGGCCTTATCGTCTTTCCGGTCAGCTTTCCTATCAGCCTCCTTATAATCATTCGACATTCCGTGTCAGCCGCAAAGTACCTTACGAAAGAAGATAAAGCGAGTATCGGAGATAGAGACGACGCGAGCGAGATGAATATACATTCGTACACAACATGAATACGTTTTCGGGATGAGATCGTGATACGATACAAGAGGCTTACAAGTTCTTACGGCTGAAAGATATATAGATAGATTACATTATGCCGCAACCTGGATTTCTCGATACATCGGCAAGACTCATAATCACTCGACATCCCAATTAGCGCGCGGCCGGAATTAATCCACCGGCAGTGCATATATAACATTTCGCTTAGGTTTCATCATCATTAATGTTGGCTGCACGTGAAAGCGCATCATTTTCCGCGCAATGAATATAAATCTTTTTTTTTCCATATATAACCGCTGGCAATGATGATACAATAACAAAAATAACAATGGGGTAATAATATAAACATCGATTGCAGGCGGACGCGAGATTTCGCGATATTATTCGTTCTGTTATAAGTCTCGGTTATAGACGATTATATTGTTCGAGTTGGTTCGTGTTATATATTGATACGTTACAACTTCTCGTGACGTTATATTCTTTCGGTCGTATCGGTGGCGATTTTATCGTCGGAATGAACAAATTTACCGCGCGTAAATGGATCACGTTTGCGTTGCGATCGATGTAGTGAATTTGCGGGTCGTCTTATTCGGGAAAGGCACAATTCTTATCGTTGACGCGAAAGCTATTTGTCCTACAACCTGCTTTACATTTGCGATGTCGTGACGGAGTAATAATGTCGGTCACGAAGGAAGCGACAGAAATTACCTTCACATAAGTCTTGGGGAAATTCTTGGCCGTTTATTTAATTTCTCAAGATGACGATTCGGGATTTTATTCTATCGTAGTCTCGGATCAAACATTACGAGAAACGAATATTTTGTTCGTCGCTGCACAAATAAGATCATGTTTTTTATTTAAAAGCAAGTTTTTAAGTACGTTAGAAAATTTTCAACGATAATCTTGTGACAATAGATTTTTCATTAAATTTAAAGCTGATTTTAATTTATAGAAAATTTTACGAGACGATGTTTTCAGTATTCAATATTAATCATTCCGATAATTAAATCTCAGATTAAATTCTGAGAGAATTGGATCCACTAAATTTAAACGAATAATAAGCTCTCGTTATTTAATTTGTGTATCGTAGAAGCTTTATTTATCACGCTCGAAAAGTTTCGCAAATTTCAATAATTTAATAATCAAATATCGATTAGCTAGTATTTTTAAATAACAGAGATGTACATCCCCTGCAAGAACGATTTCTAGGATGGAATTTTCCTGCCGAGCACGCAGATCTCGTGCATCCACATTGGCATGCATTTCTCGCACCTGGAAGACTATGGCATGTCGCCCTTGCGCTTATTTATCTTTTGCTCTTAATGCTCTCTTTAGTCGGAAATGGCATCGTCATTTGGATCTTCAGCACGTAAGTTTGCATTGTTTAAGAAATTTTATTTTATAACAATTAAAATGTTACAATTTAAAAAAAAATACTGATTATATGAGCGTCGAAAATTTAAAAAATTATGAACAAAAATTGCGCAGTTTAAAAAAATTTAAATTCGATTTTTAAGCATGTATTTGCTTATATATTTAAAATACACATTTTATAATTTAATATTATTTTTTACTATCTATATAATTGCGTGTATATAATTTTAATAGTTAGTAGAATTATTTCAAAATTTTCTGTGTTTTCTAAATTCGACATTAAACTATTTTTTTTTTTTAATTTATTGATTAATGTCGTAAACGACATATGGTGGTGCTGCCGCCATCTCTATACATGAGGTTGAATCGTTTCAACACAGTTTGCGATGTTCTTATCGTACGACGAGAAATATACTACATTTCCTATTCTATTTTTATTCCGAAAAATAATTTTGCCTAAAATTTAATTAATGCATAATGAACAAATTCGTTTTTATATATTAATTTCTAGATCGAAATCATTGAGAACGCCATCGAACATATTCATCTTGAATTTGGCAGTGTTCGATCTACTGATGGCAACGGAAATGCCTATGTTAATCATAAACAGCTTTTTGGAACGAACGATTGGTTGGGAGACCGGATGTGATGTGTATGCTTTGCTCGGCGCGATTTCTGGGATGGGACAAGCGATCACCAATGCGGCGATCGCTTTCGATCGATACAGGTTGAACTTGCACAATTTCTATTGATTATTACTGGATTAAAAAAGGAAGGACTATATGTTTGTTAAAATCTAGCGATACTATCGTAAACGATTATTTCAATTATATCGATAATAAACTGGGAAATAAAACAAGAGATCTTACAATTTAGTAAACATATCTCAGAATGTATAATTAGGCAATTCCCGATAACAATGAGCTACACTTTGTATTATATATACATATATTATACTTGATATTACAGAACTATTAGTTGTCCGATTGATGGTAGATTAAATGGAAAGCAAGCTATGGTATTAGCTCTCTTTACGTGGTTCTGGGCACTGCCCTTCTCGATATTGCCCATGACGGGATTGTGGGGTCGATACGTGGCAGGTAAACCAATACTATCTTTCTATTATCCAAGAAAATATAATAAAATATTTATAACTCTTTCGCATAATTTCCGTATTTTAATTCCGAGTGATTAATCCATATTTTTATTTCATATATCATATTTCATATTTCATTACACATTTGTTATGTTGAAATTAATATAAAATGATTTTACCATCTTTTCTATAAAAACGATTCATTGAATATTTTTCTTAAATAAAATATTTCTATGAAATATTTTATTGTAGATAATATTGTGTATAATATATGCAATTTTTATGAAATAAAATATTTCTATGAAATATTTCTATGAAATATTTTATTTAAGAAAAATATTCTATGAATATTTCTATGCAATATTTTATTTAAGAAAAATATTCAATGAAACGTATAATTTTCAGAGGGTTTCCTTACCACGTGCAGTTTTGATTATCTTACGGACAACGAAGACACAAGGACATTTGTGATAACAATATTTTTCTGGGCGTACGTCCTTCCTATGCTACTGATTATTTATTTTTACTCGCAATTACTGAAGTCTATTCGTACTCACGAGAAAATGCTTCGCGATCAAGTAAGCAACAACTTTGTGTCTCGTAATCTCGTTCTTTGACGTCGCGATAAAGCATGCAATTTGTGGAGGATTCCACTTTTACCAGTGTATTGCGTGCACAGGCCAAGAAGATGAATGTCAAGTCGCTCGTATCGAACCAAGACAAAGAGAGAAGCGTCGAGATGAAAATTGCGAAAGCCGCTTTTACGATTTTCTTTCTCTTCGTACTCGCGTGGACACCGTACGCGGTTGTTGCTTTAACGGGAGCCTATGGAAATCGGTAAGATAGTCCATTTGCAAAATTATTCTTCAAAGAATTCAAAGAATTTTTTTCTACTTTATATTTTTTAATCTTGCTTTACGTTACAGCGAAGTGCTTACTCCACTCGCGACTATGTTGCCAGCCATATTTGCCAAGACGGTATCGTGTATCGATCCATGGATATATGCAATTAATCATCCTAGGTGAAACACCTATATGTCTCTAATATTCTGTTATTTCTATTTGAAATTCCGAGTAGCTGCGTTAATTCAATAATCAAAGTAGTTTTTTAAATAAAGAAAAATGATTATTAAAAAAATTTCTTTGCTCCTTTTCTTAATAACTTTCTAATAATTTTTGCATTGTTTAGGTATCGACAAGAATTAGATAAGCGCTGCAAATGGATGGGAATTCGAGAACCTGCAGCCGAAGATACCGTGTCGGCGCAAACTGAAAAAGTTACTACTGAAGAATCATAATCTTATTGCTCATTAAGACAGTTGTCGAGAAGATGTCGATCGATCGCATCGCGTTCTCGAATGCAATTTTGACCGGTAGCCTAGATATTTTTTTTTCATATATTTCATTTATAAAAAAAATGTAGGTGGAAATTCTCCCTTTCTATTTTGCGAAAACAAACTCGAGAATAAAAAACAATCGCATCTTGTTTAGTTTATATACATCAAGCTGTTATGTAAATATATTCGCAAGCAAATATAACATTTTTTTTCTTCTTCCTCTAAATTCTTCCATCTGTATTTCTCAATATTAAATTTAGCCTTGATGTAATTCAAATTTTTCTTAATTGTCATGCTTTCTGTAATTCGTCAGAGATGGCAGAGTATGAAAGCCTGTCTTGTGCTGCCATCCTTACTGACTGGCCTATTTTTTATTGATCGTTGATTGCAAATGTCAAAACATTTCGAAGAAAATTGTCTGGCTCTTTCATTAATATAATGAAGAATAAATATAATTTTATTGTATTGCAAAAGATAAATATAATTAAAATTATTATAAATATCAATAATTATAATTAAAAATAATTACAAATTTGATTCACATTATACAGATTCTAGAAAACAAATCGTACATTTTTTTGATATTATATATTAGCAAAAATTATTTTATTTTTTTCTTTCAATATTTTCCGTTATTCTTCTAATATCACATTTCGTATTGAATTAATCTCTCTCTCTCTCTTTCTTTCTTTCTTGTGATACGAAAAATAATTAAATTTGGAAAAAGTTTTTTGATATAAAATTAGTTGTGTAATTGATAGAAGAATCTTGCGGACAAAATAGTTTTTGACGATATTCTTCAAGCCCAAGGATTACAACGAATCAATCACTTTAGATAGTGTAAATTTTCTATCCGTCTGTAGCAAAGAACGACTTATCTACTGGATGAATAGAGTGGATAGAGATCTCTTTCTGTCCTCCGAGAGTGGAGAAACATTGTCTTATCTGGGAACGAGGTCACGTGCCACCCGAAGCGCGGAAGAAACCCGGATAGAAAAGAAAGTCGATGAGAAGAGCGAGGATGGGAGAAAGAAGAGTGAAGAAAAAAAGATGAGCACAACTCGAAGACAGCTCCGAAGAATACCACGGCACGTTCGCGTTTATGTGTTATCTTTTAGTCTGGGAAAAATATTGTCCTACAAATCAACTCCAGCTGAGAAATTGCTCACTCGTGAGAAGACCGAGACTTCCGGTAATCGTCGATCGCGTTCAAGTTTCCCGCAATCGAATTAGTTCTCGATGATGATAAGCTCAGCTATTGATAAAAACAGATTGCAAGCCCCCTATGTAATTCAAATGTCGTTCCCTGTAGAAATTTTACGTTGGCCGAATATAAAGGTTCACGCATAATGTACGCTTTCCTTTATGCGTTAATATCATGGATGAGACGTATTTCTTTCTTTATGAGAGAGCCTTTGGTCGGGCGCTTGTTACGGAAAATTGAGAGGATCTCCTTATTCTCTCGTTATCTTGATCCCCTTAATTCGCTCCGCGGATTTCCGTTTTCTGCCGAGGGAAAGCGATACGCTATATGAGTAGTGTTCACAGAAAATGGCGTTCCACGTGTGTCACGAAACATGTCCCCGGAATATATTTCGTGCAAAATATGTTATGCCATATTACTTATCTCGCGTGTTCTATCTTCGTGTGCTATTTTCGACATATTTCGGGATATTTCGATTCGGTAATATCACAGTTATTATACTAATTAATTGCTACTGCAATATAATAATTTATTTCCGGCGCTGCCGCATGATTATATTTCCGATACAAGTATATATATATTTTCCAAAAATTACACTTTTAAAATTATTTTAAAAAATTATTGATTATTCGATAACACAATTATAATATAAATGAGAAATTTAGTTAATATTGCAAAAGGCCAATATATCACTCGTAAAGTACATCGTCGAAAGTAATCGTCATAAAAGTCAGTCTCAGTCAAACGTTCAACTTTAAGAACATCATAACACACCGACGAGTAAGCTTGGTTGATCTCGAGATCTCCCGTAATTTTTTTTTCTTCTTTTTTTTCCACGATCGTCCGGGATACGATCGCGCAGAAAGAACAAAGGTAATGAATAACGCGCGACAGCGTGCTAACTTACCGTCTAACTTTCTTGCGAGCAAGAAACATTGCTCCATGAATACGTATATATACGCACGGAGCGTCTCGTGAAATATACGACTACCGAAGCGCAGCGAAGAACTTTGAAATCTGACGGACGGAGACTAGAAAGAATCGCGCTCTCTTTCGAAAAGAACATTGCACCGGGGTAATATTTTTATTCGCAAAGAGAATGTACGCGTCCGTGTTTCCGGGACTTTGATCGCGACAGACGAGGCTTTTACGTAAGATTACGACGGAATAATCCCGGCTGTCGCAGCGGAGATCATCTTCTTATTCGCCATTTGTGCGCGAGAGACTCCATGTATTTTTTGTCCAATTTTCGCTTACGACGATAAAATAATTAGCGGGATTCCGACGCGAATAGCGCGAAAGGATGTTAATTGGACGATTTCGGTTAATCCCGGTCAACCGGCGTGCTGTCGATAATTGTTTCCATCGACGAGTATCCTAATCCATCAGGGAAGACAAGGTGATTACGTGCCCGGCGTGTCGGTCGAGAAAATTTAGTCCAGTCCGTGAAACAGGAGTGAATTGCGCGGTGCGGATCATTGAACGGGCGGATCATAGGCGGGCCTCGCAGACAATTTAGGCAGCTCGGTTAATATGCAGTTAGTACGTCATTTGTTTCTCGCCGCCGGCAGAGAGCTTATCATTATCCTTGACGCTATGGCACTTTCCGGATCTCTAGCTGTTATCGTGATAATGGATAACGCGTCGCCGATCAACCGGCATCCGACATTAGTCGATTCCTCGACGTTTCTCCAAGCTAGGTACCGTCTGTCTCGTTTCCACGTATACATACGTATCGCGACGGAAATAAATCGCGTTCACGTCGATATTACAAGATGTTGAAAATGATGAAACGCCTTTGAACGAATTTATTCGCGCCGAAAGGAATTCCCGTTTTCAGCGAACAAGCGCGATTTCTATTCTAATTCCCTCCTTTTTTCCTCCCCGCTCTCCTTCCCTTCATTTTTTCTTTTTTTTTACGCAAGTGCATACGCTATAGCGACCGAGAAAAATACACGCGCGGGCTATTGAATGACAAGAATTCCAATCAGCAAAAATTTCACCGCGCTTAAGCTTTCGGCAACCGTCCACAATCGACAGCAACCACCCCGTAATATTCCTCTTTCGTTGCCGGCGCTTCCGACTTACATACAATCAAAGTTTTCCGTGCCAAGTCTGCGCGACGATAACGTCGACAACGACAAGACGACGACGAACGAACGCGGAGAAGGATGAGATGGAGGATAAGAGGAGAAGGGAGAAAGAAAAAGTTGAAGTCAAATCGAGGGAGAAAGCGGGAAAGATGGAGGAAGAATGCTATAACTGTGGGAGCGGGGTTCGAGCGGGACAAAGGCTCAAGAATCGAGGAAATCCTTGATTAGATGTTCGCGTCAAAGGAAACTCCTCGCTCGCTGGGAGTCAAAGGAGCGAGAGGAAAAAAGAATCGAAGAAGGAGCGAGGAGGAGAGACTGCTGCATCGAGCCGCGACTCGATCTGGAAGACGAGAATTAAAAATAGTCTCTGACTATGAACGTCGCGAAATCGATTGCCATTCTGTCTATCGCGTCGCGAGGAAAGAAAGAGAGGAGAGAAAGAGAGAGGGGGAGAGAAAGCAAAGGAGAAAAAGTCGAAAAGGGCCGCGTCTTTCAAAAGCGGAATGGAATCATCTAACTCCCGTTCAAGATACGTTCCGTTCCGTCCTATTTCCTGAGGTCGCGCCAAGCGACGGCCAGTTATGGATGTTGAAAATTCAATTACGCGGGATTTATGGCTGCCGGCGCTGGGCATATTTATTATCGCACTATCCTCTTCTGTAACTTCCGTTATCCTCTCCGCGCTCCCGTCTGCCGTCCTCCTCTCCCCCTCCCCACCCCATCAATGACGTCCGCTTCCCATGACGCCGATGATTAAATAAAAATTCATTCGCGACATCGGATAATCGGCGGTCGATTTTCATTCCATCGGCGAAAAAAGAAATACTGCCGATGATCATCGACCTTTTACAATATTACGTATACGATTAAGCTATCAAGGAAATAAGGCGCAAGATGATCGGCGAATAAAAATTTATGATTCGACTGCTTCCAAGAGAATCCAGATATTTGAGCCAGAAATTCAAGTCGAATCGCGCATATAATCGTACCTTTTCGATCATTCGCACGTATATGTATGACATTGCGATTACCTGAATAATATTCGCATCAACCGCATGTGCGAATGAAGCGAAGTTGACACTATGAAGAGCGAATGCGCAACGACATTATTAAATATGCAATATGTGGCACTTAATGATGTGACAATGTCCATATTATTATTAATTTGCACATAATTAATAGATACCACATTTCGATTCCGATCGCGGTGCAAACTGCTCGCCAGGCGGTTTCACATGATCGACGCGCTTTCAGCAAAAATGATATATATGTATATATATTCCTTCGATGGGCAAGAGGGGGATGGGAAGATACACAAGTGGAATAAATTTGCTTAATCGCAGTGCTCATTAGCACCCAAAGTTTAGTTTATACGTAGCACTATCGTGTGTTACTCACTATGGAATTGTGTTCTCTTTTACATGTATATTGTTGCGAATTATCGATATTCGTACATTTCTCAATTTTAGAATTATGAAAGCCTGTTATTTCGAGCATGCCGCTGTCAATACATTTTTAATCGAACCCATCAAAATTTGAAGAGCCGCGGAAATCAGTTTGATTTTTCTTTTTTCCTTGCAAACGTACTTCTTTCTCTCTCTCCATCAAGTTATACGTGAAATTGAGATGCACCGACGACTTGAGTTAATTAATTCTAGATTAACGATTCGTTGCCTTTTCAGAGATTATAATCCTAATTATAGTACAGACAGTGGAAGAAAATTCGGTTAAGCAAATTTATCGCTAAGCAACGTTATCGTAATTAATTTAAAAGGTCTTTTGAAACGTCAGCTTTCTAAAATATTTAAATAAATTCGATTAAATTCGATTAAATTCGATTCCGAATATATATGATAAATATAAATATGTCATTTTTAATTTCTGTGTATTA